CAGTTTGAACACGCCCCGCCTTCAATCCGTGAAACTCTTGGAAATTTAAAAAACGAATATGCGCGCGGCGCTAAGGCGAGAGCCACAGTTTGAAAACGCCCCGCCTTCAATCCGTGAAACTCTTGGAAATGTTAAAAACGAATGTGCGCGGCGCTGAGGCGAGAGCCACATTTTGAAAACGCCCCCGACGCCCCGCCTTCAATCCGTGAAACTCTTGGAAATGTTAAAAACGAATGTGCGCGGCGCTAAGGCGAGAGCCACATTTTGAAAACGCCCCGCCCTCAATCCGTGAAACCCCTTGGGATGTTTAAAATGAACACGCGCGGCGCTAAGGCGAGAGCCACATTTTGAAAGCGACCCGCCATCCATCTGCGAAAATGTTGTCACTTGTTAAGCTTCAGGTCCATTAGTGCTGAGGAAATCTCAGGCGAAACGCCCGGCCCGCCCTAAAAACTTGCCTCGGGGTGCGACTGGGAGGAGTTATCTAGAAGGAGAAGGAATGGATGAGGAGGAGGAGGAGAAGGAGGAGCAGGAGCAGGAGGAGGAGGAAGAGGAGGTGGAGGGGGGGAGGAGGAGGAGGAGGAGGAGGAGGAGGAGGGGGAGGAGGAGGAGGAGGAGGAGGAGGAGGAGGAGGACGACGACGACGACGACTACGACGACGACGACGACGACGACGACAACGACGACGATGCCTACCCTGGGGCCCGAAGGCGACCCGCACCTGGGAGCGAAATCGAGGGCAGACGCTGGGATCGAACCACCAGTCCGCGGAGCCCAGCCAGAGGGGTGGGCCGCAGCGGTGGCCCCGTCTGCCCGAGCCGAAGTCGCTGCTCTGTTTTTGTGCTTGGCTGCAGGCGCGCGACGGCGCTCGCGGGGCGACGTGAGCGAGGGGCAGGAAGAGTCCTCCGAAGGGGAGGGGGCAGCCGAGTTGGGTTGCACTTGCACGTTGCCCTGACGAATCCGTTTCTTGTGCTCACGACGTCGATTTGTCGCCCGCCGCTCGCTCGCACGACGCCCGTTTGATTGGTGCGTGCGGGGGCTGGTCAATCCTTAGTCAACGCGTGGTTGCCGATGCGCCATCCAGGCGCCTGGCTTCTCTGTCTGTCTGTCTGTCTGTTCGTGGGAGACTAAGTTACGCATCGGCGCCTCTAATCACCCGGGAGAATCTGGCCCACTGCAGCGTGCGGTCAGGAATTTTGGCTCAGCGTGTCGCTCCGCCAGCTTCGGCCCGCCACGCTGCAGCGCGATCCGCGAACCACTTCCCAGTCCCTGGGCGTCAATGTCCCGAGCATTTCCAAGTCTCCCGCCCCGCGGAGCATAGCGACACGCTATCCGCTTGCAGGGTGCCGCGGCGACACGCTAAGCAAAAGTTCCCGACATCAATCCAGCTTAGCTCAGTTGTATCGGGCTCCAACTGATGATTCTGACTGTGTTTTCTGGCTTTGTAGCTCTGGCGGAGGTTAGTAGTATTATATTCAGTCACACCCACGAAGACCTCCCAGAACCTACCTACTAAGTCGAGTTGCTACCCCCCGTGACCGTCTTCGACAGCGGGCCCCTGCGCGTACTGGAGACGTCCATCCTCCTTGGAGCCGTCTGGGGTCAGAGGTGGCCCAGCACTGGTTCTGGCGAGCAGGAAGGGCGGGCAGGTTCGAGCAGGAAGGGCGGAACCTCGGCATAATTACCCCCCCCCCAGCGTGGGGCGCGCCCACAGGCGGGCACCAGGCGAAACCTCAGCATTCCCCCGCAGCGCGTGGCACCCACGAGGCATTCACGGGCGGGTACCAGCCGAATTCCAACGTCCAGTGAGCTCCTCGAGTAAGCGAGTTCAGAAACCCAAAGTGCAAGCTCTGCTTCTGGGTAAAAATCCATGTCTCCGCTTCCGGCCGAATCCACCAGGCGTGTTTCCTTGTCGACCGGGACAAGCCGCCCGGGCACCAGCAATCTCCATATGTTGCCCCCCGCCAGTGGCGCACCCTCTGGGGGGCGTGCTGCGGGGGCCGTGGGGCCACTGGGAAAGGAGCGGCTCGCGGCCTAACATCTGTGAGGTGCCCTTTTTCCCCCTCGGGTCCGAGCGCGCCGAGCTTTGCAGCGCGTCCGCTGCAGCGAGCCTCCTGCGCACGGCCACTCCAGGATTGTTCGGCTTCCGTTCGGCCGTATCTCCCTCAGGTCCTCTCCTCCTCATCTCTTCCTCGTCCTCCTCCTCCTCCTCCTCTTCCTCCTCCTCCCCCTCCTCCTCCTCCACCTCCTCCTCCTCTTCCTCCTCCTCCTCCCCCTCCTCCTCCTCCTCCTCCTCCTTTCTGCTCGTCCCCCCTCTGGAGAAGGAGAAGGAGGAGAGTGGATATATTTGCGCGTCGCGGCCCCAGGCTAGACAGCTGCCCGTCGCGAAGATAACCATGCGGCCCGCATCGCGGGGAGCGACACGCGAAGTGAGGCGTTCTCGCAATAGCTTCCGCCGCGTAACGCACGCGCTTGTGGTAAGCGCTGTCCCAGTTGCTCGCGTATTGGCACTGGCGCACGCGTGCGCAGATCTACGATTATTTGAACCGCTGATCTTAGCTGCTTGGTCAGTGGTCCCATCTTGAACGCAACCATCCAGCCTACGCCTCGAAGATCTTCAGAAGACCGCCCAAGGCCAATGGGTAACAAGGGGTCCATGGTCGAATGCGTGGCTGATCGGCGCTGGCCTGCGCGCAGGCGCGCAGCCAGTGCACGCAGGCGCACACGCACGCACAGGAGGCACGACTGCTGCAAACGTGCGAGCACGCAGATTCGCTAGCACGCGTGCGGGCGCGAGAAATTTTGGAGACTACCACGGCACGGAGGTCAGGAACCAGATTTCGGAAGGTTGGGCGGCGTTCGGCTGGCTCAGAATCAAGTTGCGCAACAAACGCCACTTGTTGAGGTCCTGATTCAGATTGTTCGGCGCCGTCGTGTTGGTGCTCTAATGTGGCTGCAGGCGCAGGAGGTGCGCAAAGACAGACGCCTCGAAAATTGCAGTAATGCACGGGCTGGCGTTTGGGAAACCTTGCGCTGAAACGGAACCTCGTTGGAAGGAGGCTCACAGGGGGCTTTGCGAAGCGATGGGCAGACTCTAATTTTTCTTGTCTGCCATCTGTTCTGCGCCGCGTGCGAGAAGTTTCAAGAGCAGCGTGACGCGTCACAGTCCTCACGTATACTGCGTGCGAGGATCATCCATGAGCGTGGGTGGCGGCAGCAGAATAGCTTGCGTCGCCACGCGCGCAGCAGCCCACGCAAGCCGCGCTCTTGCCCATGCTGCGACAGTGGCCCCATGGCCCCATGTCCTTGTCCTTGCCTCGTCGTCCTCGCCGCCCTCCCTGTTAACGAATTTCCATTGTGTGTGGTCTTCCGCCTCATCACCTTCTCCGCTCGCATCCGCGACTTCGCCCTTTTCATGATGTGCCTATGCCTCTGCCGCCCCTGCGCCTCTTTTTTCTTGATCACCGCTGTTGCTCGTCATCCCGCCACTGCGTATTCCACTCCTTCGCTGTCTGGCAACAGTGCCAAGGCGCAGATCCACGTGTACGTTGTGGATTCCAACATCAAGCACCTAGAGGACGGTGGGCCCTTTGAGTTAGGATGCCGGTGGTGCCTTGTCCGCCACTGTTCGCCCTCGGCTTCCGAAGCCCGCCGCATCTTCGGCGCCGTGTGGTAACATGGACCGTGTTTTGTGTTTTGTGTGTGTGTGTGTGTTTGCGCATTGTATGTGTCGTGTGTGTTGTATGTTGTGTGTTGTATGTGTGGGTTGTGTGTGGACTGTGTGTGCTTGTGCGCGTGTGCGCATATGTATGTGTATATATATATACACATACATACATACATATTTATATATATCTATATATATGTGCGTCTGCGTCTCGCCCAGCCTTTGTTCCGAACGGTTTCGGGGGCCCCTAGAGTAGAGAGGAGGACGTTTGGCAGCAGTGCGTTCAGAGAGAAGAGGGGGAAGAGAGGAGAAGAAGGAGGAGGAGGACGACGACGACGAAGAGGAGGAGGACGGAGAGGACGGAGAGGAGGTCGGATGTACGAGTGTGGACGCGGGTGCGGAGGAACGGCAGAGGGACCGGGACGTCGACGATTGGGGCGGTGGGGCGGCACCTCGAAGATTTCGAGCGGATTTGGTGGAGTTTTGCGATGTGCGGTTGGGGGTGGGGAGGGGGAGAGATGGTGGGAGGGGGACGGGGGCGAGTTCCTCTCTGTCTCCCCCTGCCCAGTCCCTTCCCCCTCTGCGTCCACCATGCCCGTCCGCATACCTCGCCCCTTTCTGCCCACCTCTGCTCCCCAGCCCCCGCCGTCGTGCCCCTCCTGTTCCTCCTCTTCCTCGTGCCACCTCGAAGGACGAGGATACGGATGGAGAGCGGGAGAGGGATGAGGATCCAGACCTCTGGCGATTCTTCTTCTTTCTTGTTTCTCGACTCGCCGCCGCCGCCCCCCCCCCCCTGGAGCTGTCGACTCTTCCGCTGGGGCCCGGCCTTCGGCACGGGGTGCGATCTGGGCGTTTGTCCCCCCCCTGGGGCCGAGGTCGCGGTGCTGCAGGCCCCGATGATCCCAGGGAAGGAAGACAGCAACTCATTGTCGCAGCGATGTCTTCATGCTGCCATCGGCCTGCGCCCCTTCCCTCAAAGATCGGTCCCCTGACCCGTCCGGGGGTGCGCTCTGGCCAGAATTCGGAGGCGGGTCTCGCCGTGTCGGCGAGGGCGCAGCCCCCAAAGTTCCCAGAGCAGACAGCCCCCCGCTGGCTCACGCCTCCCACCCTCCTCCCCCCTCCTTCCTTCCCGCCCTCATCCCGTTGATCCATCCAACGCCTCGACCTCCGAGCCTGTCTTCAAACATCGGCGCTGGACCTGTCTCAGAGCAGGCTCTGACCTTCCAGGCGGATTCAGCCTTGGCGACAAGGATGTTCTCTCTCTCTCTCTATCTCTATCTCTTTCACTTGTGTCTCTGCTCTTTGTGATGATTTATACACGGATATCAACTCTACACGTATATGTATTCATAAATCGTTATACAGGTCACAGTTGCATAATGCTGTGTAGTATGTATGAATGTATAGATGCGTTGTCTCCCTTTGGTTTCCTCCCATACCCTTCACACAAGCTACGAGAGAATCCAGTTGCAAGGCCGCCGCACAAGGAACTCTGTGCACGGCCGCCAAAGGACATTCCTTTCTCAAGCCGCCACGACGGGAACCCTTGTGTAAAGCAGCTCCACGGCGATGTTGGGCATCGGGCCGCTACGAGGAGGAGCGACGACGACGAGCGAGAACGAATTGATTGCGTGATGTTATTGCTTGCGTGGTTGTTATTCAAGTTCGGGGCACTTGGGTAAGCCTCTTTCCCCCTCCCCCCCGGAAGGAGTGTACGGTAGGTTCATGCGGAGATGATGCGTCGGTGACGTTGGCGAAAGCGTTCAAGGTTGAATTCCGCAGGATAGAGCGACGCGGAAGCACCGAGGGACACGGCATTGCCACAGGACCCGACGGGATTCGACCTAGAACGATGGCCATACGAGAAGTCTTTCTCCTTCTCACTTCCCCCCCTCGCTCACCGCCGAAAGTTCCAGGACACTTGGGTACGTAAGCCCCTTCCCCCCGTCCCCTCGCCCCATGTCGGGCACGGGGCAGCCCCGGCCTGCAGAGGCCGGCGATGGCCCGGAGGTTGAGGTTGTACCAGAAGGTATCCCTTTCTTCCCTGTTATTCCGTCTCCTCCTCCCCCTCCTCTTCCCGATCCTCCTCCGCCTCCTCCTTCTCTTCCCGATCCTCCTCTTCCCGATCCTCCTCCTTCTGCTCCTGCTCCTCCTCCTCCTCCTTCTCCTTCTCCTGCTCCTGCTCCTCCTCCTCCTCCTCCTCTTCCTCCTCCTCCTCCCCTACCTTCTCCTCCACTTCCCCCTGGGACAGGCGTGCATGGGGTGGGTGCGACCCTCCCCCTTCCTGCCCCCTCCGCTGGTGCAGGGGGGTAGGAGGGGGGGGGCGTACCGACTCTCCCCTCCGGTACGCCGACGGACGACGACGGACGTCGCGTCGACGACGACGACGACGACGACGACGAGGACGACGACGACGACGACGACGACGAGGGTGACGACGACGACGCCGACAACGACGACGACGAGGGTGACGGCGAAGGTGACAACGACGATGACGACGACGATGACGATGACCCATGGACGACGGACGACGACGACGACGACGACGACGACGACGACGACGGACGATGGACGACGGACGACGGACGACCGATGTCGTCGTTGTTGCTTGATGGCGCGATGGGGAGGGAGAGGATTGTCTTACCCCCTTGCCTGCATGGGATGTGGGGTTGCGGGTTTCATGCCCCCCCTTTCCAGTTGCGCGCGGAGGAGGGAGGGGAAGGGTATGGGCGGGCGCGTGTGCGGGGGGAGGGTGGGGTGAGTGGGAGGGTTCTTTGAACAGGCAGAGACCATCCGTCTTTCCTGCCCCTTGCTCGTGTTATCTCTTTGTTTTTGTTCGCCCTCCCCCGCAGGTCGCAAGGGGGGCTCGAGGGCAACGGCGCTTCGACGCGAACTTGTCCGTATCACCGAAGGAGGAGGAAGAGGAGGAGGAGGAGGAGGAGGAGGAGGAGGAGGAGGAGGAGGAGGAGGTAGGAGGAGGAGGAGGAGGAGGAGGAGGAGAGGAGGAGAGGGGAGGAGGAGGAGAGGAGGAGGAGGAGGAGGAGGAGGAGGAGGAGGAGGAGGAGGGAGAGGAGGAGGAGGAGGAGGAGGAGGAGGAGGGGTGCCCCAATTCTGTAGTTCCCGCTCCAGACACTCTTCGACCGCGCACCCCGCCCCGCGAGCGGGTTCCTTCCAGATCGCAGCGCCGGATGTCCTGAGCCTGGCCTGGCGCGGTCCGCTCGCAAGGGAATGGGGTCCAGCGCGGATCCAAGACATCCGTGCGTCTCTCTGAACATTTACATGTGAGCATCTCTTTTCTTCTGCCCAGCCCCCAAATCCTTCAAAACTGGCCGTTCAGAAAAAATCCGGAATTTCGGGCATACACCCCAGCGGGGCGGTTCGGACGCACCCTTTTCGAGGATGGACGTCCCCCGTCGTATATCCCTGAGTTGTGCCATGTTTTCGTCCAGTGAACAGTCCCACCGAGTCGATGATTGGGGTCGCTATACCTCCTGTTAACTTCCCTTCGTCGCTGTAAAATATCACTTCAAGCATTTGGACCTATCAGCAACGCAAACAGACCACGGCCTCAACACGGGTTCGATGGGGCGTGTGGCCCACTTGTTGTCATGTGCGCGGTAGTGTTCTGTCTTGACACCTTCGCGATACAGCACGGTTTCGTTATTCCGTCCAGCAGTGGGAATAAGGCACATATATCATATACCGGGGTACCGGGGGCCAGGGCCCCGGGCCGGGACACCCTCCCGACCGAATTTCCCCCCCCCCCCCCCCCGTAACCCACTTTGCCCCCGGGCGTCCGGAGGCTCTTTTGCGCCCCCGGAGGCGTCCACCACGGCTTCCGGGGACGGCAAGAAGCCGCCAAGACGGCCCAAGAGCGCTCCAAGACTCTCAAGATAGCCCCATCAAGGCCCAAGGGGCCCCCAAGAAGCCCCATGGGCGCTCCGAGAGGCTTTCCAAGAGAGCCCCAAGAGGCTAAAATCATATATTTTCATCGTGGTTTTCAATGTTTGTTGCTTGCCCGCGTTTTCGGGCTTCTGACCTTCCAGGATTGCCGAGGAAGCTTCGAACATCGCCCCAAGACGGCCCAAAAGGCCCCCGAGAGGCCCCCAAGACTGCCCAAGAGGGCGCCCAAACGGTCCAAGAGGCGCCCAAGACGGCCCAAGAGGGCTTCAAGACGGCCCCAAGAGGACACGAACCGACAATGGAGATTTCCGCCCCAATAGGCCCCCAAGAGGCCACCAAGAGGCCCCAAGAGGCTAAAAAATGCCCCCATCAGAGACCCCAAAGAGGCCCCAAGATGCCCCAAAACGGCCCCCCGGAGGCCAGGTGCCCGGAGGAAGGCCCCAAGGGGGTCCACAAACAAGACACGTTTGGAAGTTCTCGCGTGACTTGAGGACTTGAGGCCGCGCCTTGCTGTAGTCGTTCAAGGCCTTCTTGGCACCCTCCCAGGGCCTCTCCTGGAACCGCCCTCCTTCTCCTCTCCCCTTTCTTCCGAAAAGTCTCCCAGTGGGTCATGCCATCCAGCGCATTCGTTCCTGGCACAAGCGAACGCTGGGGCATCGGTTCCATTCTTTATATTCCCTCTCTCTCGCCCCCCTCCCCTCAGTCCTTCCTTGCCCGCTCCCCCATACATATGGCCTCGCTTGGTCGAGTAATCATCTTGTACAGCGTGAGCTCCACAGTGATATGGGCCGCAAACACCCAACGAGACCCTGGACTAACCCCCGGCGGCGCCCAAGAGACCCTTCTTTGCTGGGGCCAGGCGCATGTGGATCTTTCAAACCATGCTGAAGCCATTCGTCGGTACGTGCATTCATGCAGCCGTGACTTCGTCAGTACGCGCAGCCGTGGTATTGTCAAGCGCCTGCGCTTGCTAGAACCTGAGCGCGCGATATATATATATGGCCCAGGGCACCCCCCCGCCCCCAATGCTGATGCCATTGGCCCCCTCCCCCCCCCGCGCGATGGCCCCCCCCGCCCCCCCCTGTGGGCGTGGCGTGGTGTTGCGCTGCGGTTCCCCCCCCCCCCCCTGTGGATGTGGTGCGGTGCTGTGGTGGTTAAGAGGTGGGCGTGGCGTGGTGTTGCACTGCGGTGCCCCCCTCCCCCCCCCCTGTGGATGTGGTGTGGCGCTGTGGTGGTTCAGAGGTCGTCGTCGTCGTCGTCGTCCTCGTAGTCCTCGTCGTCCTCGTCGTCCTCGTCGTCCTCGTCGTCCTCGTCGTCATCGTCGTCGTCGTCATCGTCGTCGTCGTCGTCATCGTCGTCGTCGCCGTCGTCATCGTCGTCATCGTCGGCGTCGCCGCCGCCGCCGGCGTCGTCACCGCCGCAGCCGTCGTTGTCGTCGTCGTGGTCGTCGTCGTCGTCGTCGTCGCCGTCGTCGCCGTCGACGCCGTCGTCGCAGCCGTCATCGTCGTCGTCGTCGTCGTCGTCGTCGTCCCTGGGACCATACCATCTGGGGGGGGGGGCGAGGAATCCTGGGACCATACCATCTGGGGGGGGGGGGCCCGTGGGCCCTCGACCCTGGATCATATATATATATGTATATGGATTGCTTCGTGCGAGTTGGAGCAACTACTTATCCAGCTGACTGCGGCGAACGCCGCCACTATGCCTGTGCAACAGCGCAGCAGGAAGGAAACTGAGTGAAGGAGCAGCGCAGTTCCGACGACTGGTCTGAACTAGGTAATTAGGACGGGTCGTGAACTCGACTTCGTCTTCGTCTGCGCGGTATAGGGGGAGGTCGAGTTCACATCCCGCTGCAGTTCAGCGCGAGGTCTGAACTGAGGCGGGTCGGGAACTCGACCTCATCTTCGTCCACGCGGTAGGGGGTGGGAGCAGGAGGAGGAGGAGGAAGAGGAGGAGGAGGAGGACCAGTGTATACCCAGGGCGCATCAATGGCGTCGCAACCCCTTCAAGTTCCCTCTTTGTAGGTCCGTCCAGCGCTCATGTCGGGAAGCGCTGCATTGCCAAACGACGACATCTACACATATTCTCTGCCCCCTTGCCGGGCCCTTCCTGGGTTCCAGGAGCTGTGTATACGAATCCCCGGCCAAGCCAGGAAGGCGTGGCGTATACATTGTCGCTTCGTTCAGGATGGGCCTGGCCAGGGGGCAGTGGGTATGTATAGATTTCGTCGCCCTACATTGGAAGACAACCGCGGGATGATTACCAATCGCGCCGAAACGCGATTCTTGGGACTTCAGCGCCGCGAATCAACGCGGTTGGTGCGCTCTCACAGTCTTCAACCGTGCTAGAGTACCATCCCCGGAACTTCAAAACCGCGGGAAAGGTACAGTTCCAAGGATGTCAACCGGACGGATTTTTGAATTTGTTGTACACTTTCGAAACGAATGCGCGTGGCGCTTCAGCGAGAACCGCATTTTGTAGAGGAGCCGCCCTCCGTCTATGAGGGCCGTTGTTGCCCCCAAGACCCGCCGTAAAAGTAACTATTTCCCGCGTCGTCGGCCCTGGCTTCGCGCCGCGCGCAGCCCCGTGCGTCGGCGGGCTTCGAGCTCCCTGAAGTTCCACCGCCGTCGTCGCCAGGGTCGCGCGAGCCCCCGAGCGGCCAGCGGCGTCGCCCCGAGGCAAGGCCGAGACAGGAGGCGGAACATCTGCACGAGAAGAAGCATTCGGGGCGCAGGGGTCGGGGCGCCGGCGGGGCCCGCGCCGGCTGCGCGGATGAAACGAGATACAAAGCAGGCGCTGGAACGGGAACGGGGGCATGGCGCGCTACGCATCGGGCGGAGACGCGCCGAACACGCGGCGGCGCCGCGCCCAGTTCAACGCAGCGTCTGCCGATGCAATGCAACGGCGCGGGTGCAAAATGCAATGCGATGTATGGGGCGCGGCCCGCCCCGTCCGCCAGCCCCGCGGGGGCGGGCGGGGGCGGGGGCAGGGGCGGGAAGGAGGGGGAATTGGGGGGATATAGCGGGCGGGGGGGGCGAGCGCGCGCAGCGGGGAACCGAGCGAGAAAAGGTTGCGAGCAGCCTGCGGTGGCTTGAGGTCGCAAGGGCACCCCCGACCGCGTCGCATTTGAATCAGGCGTCCCGCGAGGGGGTCGCGGGGCGGGCTTGAAGCTTGCGCCGCCAAGGCTCGCTGGGGGGGCGCGCGCGGGCGCAGGCTGGGGGGGGGGTCCCAGACGACCCCAGCGGGGCTGCATTGGCGTGAACGACGCGAATTCTTTCCCGAGCTTTCCAGCTGGCTGGAGGCGCGGCGGCAAACCGCATCGCGCGACATCAGGCCAGTTTCAGCAAACGCGCAGATCGCGCGTTGCGTTTGTAGCGTTGACCCCGCGGTTGCTGGCGCGGCATTGCCTGAACGGGCCGCAGGTCGATGCGCGGAAGGAAACATTTGGGGCTTCGCAGCTTGGAAGGGGAACGGAGACAAACCTTGCGACAAAGTGATGACAAAGTGATGACAAAGTGGTGACAAAGTGATGACAAATAGGGTTGTCGCGCGTCTTTGTTGCTGACAAAGTGATGACAAAGTGGTGACAAAGTGATGACAAGTGGGGACAAATGGCGCCGCGCGTCGGGCCGTCGGAAAAAACGGCGGGCAAAAAACGGATTGCGCGCAAAACTGCGCGCGGCGTTGATTTCATGCGCGCGCGAGCGAGTTTTTGCGCTCGCGCGAACGCGCGCGCTCGCCCGCGCGCGAACCGCACGCGCTGCGGCGGAAGACGCGTCGCGACGGGGTATCTCGCGACCTCGGAATGGCTGCGGCGATGCCCCCGCCGTTTCGGCGAGTGAATTTCCCCCCGTTGATGAGCTTCACTCGCGCCGCGCCGTCGGGTCCACGAGTTCCCTTGGCGCTCAGGGCGCAGGTCGCCCAGGCCCAGGCCTCCCCCGTTTGCGCCCGCTTCCTTCGCCAATTTGCCCCGGCCCGCTGCGTTTCGTTTCATGCCGCTACCTATCGAGCGGGCTTGGGCTGAGTTTTCTGTCGTTGTCGCTTGTGGCAGCGCTTGCATGGTTTATTCCCTCCTCGGCCCTCAATGCTCGGACCTCTTCCGCCTGGGAGGTCGCGACCGACCTGCCCGGCGCGGCGCGCGCGAAACGCTTTGTTCGCGGCGTCGAGGCCGCATTCGCGCGAACAACAAACATCGCGTCCCG